TTACTTTTAAAGAATATTTGGCTATGACCTTATATGGAAATATGTTTTGTGAGTACCACCACGGGAGTCTCATGCCTTGGGGGACTTAAAATAACTATTGGCTAGTGTTTGACCACTTTGTAGTCCAGTATTGTCATGGATCCATTGACCTCTGTAGTGATTGTTACTTTAGTGATGTACCGTGGTTACAGTGATTATTTCAGTTTCTGACACTTAGTTAATTTGTGTATTCAATTCAACCCAATGTATGTTAATATTTTAGCTTAAATAAACATCCATGGCCATTTTATGCCCCTACACTCATTGTATGATATTTCTCACTCTGCTATGTGCTTAAAGCTGTTACCCCTTTCAGGTGAGTTGGTATGTTAAGGCAACGGAAAAAATAAATAGAGAGTAGGAAAGAGGACGACTCGGGTGAGAAGCTTGAGTGGAAAGGAAGAATAAAGGAAGTAATTTAAGGTGAGTTATATTCTACCTTGAGTTACTAAAAAGTATTTTACTTATGTTTTGACTTACCAAAATCTATTTTATATAATTTATGTTTTATTAATATATTAATAAAAGTTATGTTTTATAAAAGTTTCAGCTACGTGGTTTTATTTCTGAACCCTATTTGCTTAAAAGTGAAACCCATGGATATGTTTGTTTTACTTTTAAAGAATATTTGGCTATGACCTTATATGGAAATATGTTTTGTGAGTACCACCACGGGAGTCCCATGCCTTGGGGGACTTAAAATAACCATTGGCTAGTGTTTGACCACTTTGTAGTCCAGTGTTGTCATGGATCCATTGACCTCTGTAGTGATTGTTACTTTAGTGATGTACCGTGGTTACAGTGATTATTTCAGTTTCTGGCACTTAGTTAATTTGTGTATTCAATTCAACCCAATTTATGCTAATATTTTAGCTTAAATAAACATCCATGGCCATTTTATGCCCCTAGACTCATTGTATGATATTTCTCACTTTACTATGTGCTTAAAGCTGTTACCCCTTTCAGGTGACGAAGTTTAGCGGGATCAAGATAGAAATGAATCGCTATGTTATCTTGTTTTCTATCTTTTATTATTAGATTCTTATAGTACAATGAAATTCAAATAACTATGTTTTAGTTCCTTTTAAATAAACAGTTGGTACCCAGTTATTTATTTTAATTTATTTAACTTATCCGTTTGCGCTGTGACTACAGAATTATCCGAATTACATTATTTTTATCTTCTTACGACGCCGAGCCTTTGGGCACCGGGTTTGGGTCGTGACAAGGATGACTAGAACTAATTGAAGTATTTGGAGAAGTCTTTCATTTATGTTTGGTGATTGTATTAATCTTTTTGTAATAATTATTATAGTATTCAAAGAAAGGCATTTCCATACCATATTCAATTATAAAATCATACAATTTTCTAGTTATTCGAGATTGTTGACAAGAATCATATTTAGCACGATAAGCATGCCGTTGGGTTCTATTTTCTTTAGATCTAAATTCAATAAGTAATTTATCAAGATCAGGTTTAAAATCTTTTTTGATTGTCATTAATTGAGGATTGATAGGAGGTATAACTTCGAAATCAGTTTGAGTAGGTGATTCTTGAAATTCATCATCATCTTTAGGTAAATGTACAGGATGTGAATAAACAGGTTTACTAAACTGGGAAGTTGTAGAGTTATCAATTCCCTTGAGTTTATTATTGGAAGTTTGACCAATATTGATTTGACTATTTTTTCTAAATAAAGATGTATTAAATATTTCATCTTCAGTTTCAATTTCAGTGGGGACACTGGATGTACTATGTCTAGATGATTGACTACGATTAAATTTAATTCGGACTAAATCATCAGTATATTGTTGAATATCTTGGATATCTTGAATTGAAGATTGTTGTTGATTATGTTTGTAATTTTCATTAACAGTAATCCATTGATCAGGAAGAATAATATTTTTCCATTTAATCATTTGAGGAACATTAATATGTGATTCATTATTACTACTTTGAATTAACAGAGTTTTATCTTTTGGACTTTTATGTAAAGCTTGAACATTTAAATTGGTTTTCATGAATTTATAATGAACACGATAAATTAAAGCAATATTATGAACTTTTTCTTTCATATTAGTAAATGAACCATTTAATTGAATATTTAAAGTTAATGCATCTAATATATGTGGATCATGTAAACTAGGAGTAAAATCAGGAAAACAATTAAAATGTACTGGACCTTTATGAAGACCAGTTTCCACCATTCCCATTAAACTGTCATTGTAATCTAGAAAGTGAGCATCACGTAAACATAACAAAACAGAAGTATTTTTACCTTGTTGAGTTAATGGTTTAATACCAACTTGAATTAATCCTAAATGTATAAAATTGTTACCATTTTTTAAATGTCTTTTTATTAAGTTAGCATCAAATAAACGACAGGTTTCTCTGGGTTTTTCTAAAGTATAAATTTGTTCAATAGTTATAATATGCAGATTAACATGAAAAGTATTCCGTATAAAATTAGTTTTATAAATTTCTTTCACAGATAATTTTGGTATATTTCAATTTAAATCAATTTTATCATTTTGTATTTCTACATCTTCTTCATTAATTACTAATCCTTGATTAGGTATTGAGGGGAAAGTAGTTGATGATCTAGAACTGAATGTAGAGTTACTTCTAAATAATCTATTCATTTTTCTTTTAATTAAACTGTTTACAGGAATCTTAATACATTGTCTAAATTTATCATGTTTTTCACATACGCGTGTTCATACATACCCTATTCGGAGAACCCCTAAAATCCAACCTGCCTAACCAAAGGACTTACCAAGGATAGGGACGAAAGTGGGTGACTAATAACAACGTGGAAAGACACAGATAGAATTTTGACAGATTAAGATGACAGGTAACAGATTAATCAGAAAGAAAACAGAGCAGATTTGTCAGAAGTAGCGACGCAGTAAGTGATAGATAGCAACATAACAATATTTTAAATTATTTAAAATATTTGAATATTTAAATTATTTAAATTTTTACGATTTAAATTTTTTGAATATTTATTTTAATTTTCTACTTATTAAATTTTTTATATTATTTAAATATTTATGATTTAAATTTTTTGAATATTTATTTTGAAAAAAAATTATTTCCTTTATAGTATTTTCAATTAAAAATTTGATTAATATTATTTTCTGTTAATAGTAAATTTTTTTAATTGAATTGTAAAAGGAGTTTGGCTGAATGTTGATCAGAATTTTCAATAGTGTGAAAGTAGTGTGTTTTGTTATGAGTTATAACAATTTGAATTATAACCAAACAAATTTTTTTACTTCACATGTCAAATCAAACTTTCAAAATTCAATTTCACACTCAATTCAAAACTTAATTCAAAAACCATAACCAAACAAATTTTCTACACTCAAATAATAATTTCACAACTCACAAACTCAAAATATAACCCATACTCTCAAATCATATCTACAAAATTCTACCAAATACAACCTAGATAGGCTTTTGTTTTTTTTTTTTTTGAGCTTGCTGAGGCCGCTTCATAGGTTCTTCTCAAAGGGAAACAAAGGCACATTCGATTTAGTTTAGAATTATGATTTAAGTTTGATTTTTTAAAATTATGATTTGAATGTAGAGTTGTGATGTAAGTATGAAATTATGAGTTGAGTTTTGAAAAGAAAATTTATTTAGTTATGAGTTTTGAATTTTGAATTTTGAATTTTGAAAAGAGTTTTGAGTTGTATTTTAAGTTTTGAGTTTTTGAATTTTGAGTTATATTTTGAAATTTTTGATTTTTTTTAAATATTAGAAAATGTTTAAGAAAAATTTATTTTTTATTTCAAATATATAATTTTTATTTAAATATTTTTAAATTTTTTTATTTTAAATATTTTATTTTATTTTGTAAATATTTTATTTTTTTTAATTTTAATATTTTAAACTCAAAACACAATTTAAAAGTTATTTTTAAAATTTATAACCAAACACATAATTCGAAATTCTACAATACTTTCAAAATTTCATGCTCAAATTGTAATAAAAAGTATAACAAAAAAACTAAGGTAGCGTTTGGTTTAGTTTTAGAATCATGATTTAAGAATGAAGTTATATTATGAGTTTGTGAGTTGTTGAATCATAAGTTGAAAAGAGAAAATTAGTTTGTTTATCAGTTTTGAATTGAGTTTTGTATTTTTTAAATGAGAAAATTTGTTTAGTTATAAGTTTTGAAAAGAATTTTCAAAATTTAATTCAAAAATTTATAATTTATAACCAAACACATAACTCAAAACTCATAACCAAACTCTTTTTAAAATTTAATTCAAAAAAATAATTATTGAAAAAAATAAATTTTTTACTTAAAAAATTCAAAAAATTTCAAAAATATATTTTTATTTAAAATATTAAAATATATATGTTATTTTTGTTAAAAAAAAATATTCAGCTAGTGCTTTAGAATTACTTTTATTGTAAATTTGATTGGAATTTTTTTAAATTATTTTATTTAAAAATGTTTTTTTTATTTTTTAAATATTATTGTTACAAATTAATTTTCATTTAATTTTCTTGTTAATTTCAAATAAATGGCCAAATAATTTGTCATACCGGGTGGTCATCCGGGTGGTCTACCGGGTGGTCATCCGGTGGACAGAAAATACGCCAGTGTGCGCAGAGTTCTCTGCAGAGAGTGTAGAAAATTGATTTGAAAACGAAACCAAACATGATGCTCCAAAACACACGTAGAAAATTGATTTGGGAATAGAAACAAACAGAGCCTCTAATTACCAAACATGTTTTCAAATATGTTTTGAAATGTGATTTGAAATCATATTTTGAAAACTATAATCAAACAGAGAGTTGGAATATATGGGTGGAATCATGATTCAAGAATGGAACCAAACAAAAATATTTAAAAATATATTTATAAAATAAAACAAAATAAAATATTTAAAATAAAAATAAGCAATATTTAAAATAAAAATTATATATCTATATAATAAAGCAGAATGTTTTTTGAATTTGTCGTACACACATTTGTTCTATTAGGACATTTAGACGGCTCAGATCTATTCAAATTATAAAACAACAGCTGAGATATATTTTTCAAAAAATATCTTACATGTACATTTTCTGTTTTCCCGTTTCTCTCTCTTACTTTTTCTTTTTCTCACCCATCAGTATGATCCCACCTTCCACTCTCTTTTCTTTTTTCTTTTTATTTTTATTTTTATTTTCTTCCATTTTTATTTCTCTTTGTTTGTTTGTTTTTTTTTATTTTAATTTTCTCCTTTTCGTTCACTTGTTTTTATTCATATTATATGGAAAAGTCTACAATCCCAGAATTAGGAGCTAGATTTTACTTTGTGTAGTGGAGATTAAATTAATGAATTTTATAGTCCACAAATTAAATGAATTTGAACAATTAATTATTATTTTTAAATATATTGAATACGTGATAGACTTAATAAATTTAGACCTTATATGAATCTTCAACATCTATATAATAAGTCACAAAGGTTTTTGAAAAATGTATCAAAATGTATGTAATGGCTAAGATTAATCCCAAGTATATATGAATGGTTTAGATCAATGGTTTAGATCAAAATGTATCAAAGGTTTCCCGCATACCCTCTGTCTGCCCCATACCGTCTGTCTCCCCCATACCCTCTGTCTTCTTCCCATACTGCTGCAGAGTTGAGGTGTGTATTGAGAGAAGCAGACTGTCTTCTTACCCTCTGTCTTCTTACCCGTACTCCCTCATACCCTCTGTCTTCTTCCCAAATTGATTTGAGAAGGTTGGAGACAAGCACATGTCAACATTTTAGCTCACAGACTGCACTCTTAGCTCACAGTTATTGAATTCAAATTCAAAAGTTATTGAATTCATATATACTGGGTTCTTAACTGCTGGGTCCGAATTCATATATGCTGGGTTCTTAGCTCACAGTTATGTTTCGGGTTCCTTTCCTTTCCTCTCTTATATGCTGGGTTCTTATATGCTTAGTTATATGCACAGTTATTGGATGCTTCATATGAGTATTCTCTCACCATTGCTTAGCAGTCCGAATTGGGTCTCTCAGCATCTTGGGACAAAAATGAACTCATGACATGTGTATTCTTGGGTTATGACTTATAGATAATTAGGATAACATTGTGCTATCATAGCTCTGTTCATTGGTTACATACTTGGTTGTTATGTAAATGATTCAGCTGGACTGAAGTCTCATATTACCATTCTAAGGATTATGAATGAGGATGACATTATCCTTGAATGGATAAAATTATAAACAATTTACTTTAGTGAGTGGTGATGCCATGATAATCTAGGCATTTGATGCTTGATTATCTAATGGTTCAGCTGTACTAGAGTTTCATATTACCATTCTGTGGATCACTCTGACCACTCTCACCATTGTTCACTCTGGCTCCATGTGAAACAGGAACTTGAAACAGAGGTGGAAATGATTAACTCGGCTGCTCGGTAATCTCAGCCGGGAACTTTGCTCGGTAATGTGAAACTGATTTTTAAACTGATTATATTTATACTTAATGACTCAATAACATGCTGGTTTTGGTGATTTTGAAATAACTCAAGGTCACATGATTCTTGGTGTAGATTGTTCTGGTTTATGTGACTCAACTACTGTAATATTTCTTCTGGTTTATGTGACTCAACTACTATGTTAGACTTACATGATGAATCTGGATGATAAATGAGTCTAGATGATAATGGCTTTAAGTATACTATGTTATTGTTGAGTCTAGATGATATATGAGTCTATATTAAATTTATACTTAGTTATACTTAAATTTATACTCAGTAAAATATATTAAATGGTTAAGAATAGCATAAATATATTTTCTTAGTTGATAATATACCAGCATATATTGTAGTTTATATTATAAGAAAATGAGTGGTTTTTTTTTAACATATGGTTTAGAGATTTTCTTATACTGGTATAGACAAAAAACTGGTATATTAAGAAGATGGGGGTTTATTGTTATATTTTCTTATAACAAAAAAGTTGGTTGATCCACATTTGTAGTAGGCAAGGCTTTTTTCTTATAATTGCATAACAATATTTCTCTTATATGTTATTTATTTATTTATTTTTATTTGGCTATTTTATTGGTGAAGTAAAATAGATGATGGGATCATCTATTTTACTGGTATATCCATACCAGCATATATATGCTGGTATATTATCAACATATATTTCAGATGGGGGTTTATGGTCTCTAAGTAGTATTTAGGGTGTTTTTTGTCTTCTTAATATACCAATAAACCTTATAGACAAAAAACACCCTAAATATCCATACCAGCATATATATGCTGGTATATTATCAACATATATTTCAGATGGGGGTTTATGGTCTCTAAGTAGTATTTAGGGTGTTTTTTGTCTTCTTAATATACCAATAAACCTTATAGACAAAAAACACCCCAAATATCCATACCAGCATATATATGCTGGTATATTATCAACATATATTTCAGATGGGGGTTTATGGTCTCTAAGTAGTATTTAGGGTGTTTTTTGTCTTCTTAATATACCAATAAACCTTATAGACAAAAAACACCCCAAATATCCATACCAGCATATATATGCTGGTATATTATCAACATATATTTCAGATGGGGGTTTATGGTCTCTAAGTAGTATTTAGGGTGTTTTTTGTCTTCTTAATATACCAATAAACCTTATAGACAAAAAACACCCCAAATATCCATACCAGCATATATATGCTGGTATATTATCAACATATATTTCAGATGGGGGTTTATGGTCTCTAAGTAGTATTTAGGGTGTTTTTTGTCTTCTTAATATACCAATAAACCTTATAGACAAAAAACACCCCAAATATCCATACCAGCATATATATGCTGGTATATTATCAACATATATTTCAGATGGGGGTTTATGGTCTCTAAGTAGTATTTAGGGTGTTTTTTGTCTTCTTAATATACCAATAAACCTTATAGACAAAAAACACCCCAAATATCCATACCAGCATATATATGCTGGTATATTATCAACATATATTTCAGATGGGGGTTTATGGTCTCTAAGTAGTATTTAGGGTGTTTTTTGTCTTCTTAATATACCAATAAACCTTATAGACAAAAAACACCCCAAATATCCATACCAGCATATATATGCTGGTATATTATCAACATATATTTCAGATGGGGGTTTATGGTCTCTAAGTATGAGAAGAATTTTAATTGTCCACTGTTTTCAAAGAATTCTGTTTTCAAAGAATTCTGCTCAATGAGAAGAATTCTGCTCAATGTGTTTACTGTCAACTATTTATCACCAAAATCATAAATTTTGGTTCAGCCAAAAATTCTGCTCAATGGATTTTTTTAAATTAGTTTGGTGTTATACACTAGAAAATTGGTGACAAAAAAGGTTATTGACACATATTTGAAGACATGTTATTGAACTACTTGATGTTATTGAAGACATTTTTGAAGACATTTTTCTAATTATTGAACTACTTGATATTTGAAGACATTTTTTAAATTAGTTATATGGGTAATTATGTCCTAAATTTATTATTATTATTTCTTTTTTTGTAAAATATATTAACTTTTGATTTTTTAAATTTTTTTTTAAGTTATGCCCTAAATTTATTTTTTTAAATCATGCCCTAAGTTTTATATTTTAAGTTATATGGGTAATTTGCTATTTTATTTTCTATAACAAAATTGAACACTAGAGATCCCACTGCAATGTTGGACACTAGAGATCCCACAACAATAAAATTGAATGAAACTTTTGTGACAACCATGCCACTCATATATCTATATTTATTACACAAAAAAAATTAAAAAATTGTATATAAAATTAGGTAGGAAATTAATGAAGTGGTGCAGCACGAGAGAGCATACTTCAGTTCAGTGGTTTGACCTTTAGCTTGGTTTAGTTCAGCCTCTTGAATGTGTTCAACACTCCAAAAAGAAAAAAAAAAAAAAAAAAAAGGTGTTGTGGAGAATCCAAGCCCCCTTTTGGCTTTAGAGATGATTTTTTTATGACTCAAAATTATTGGTTTGAGATATCATATTCAAAATAAACTTGATGATATATTTTACTGAGTGCTTTGATTTTTGTATGTTTGTTATTTAAAATGAAATTCAGTGCTCTTAAACGTAGTATATTTGTTGTGTGATTCTAAAAAGAAAGGGACTATTTTTTTTTTTAATATCTACAGCTCCTAATTAAAAGAAAAATTTGAAAGACTTGACATTTTAACATTTATGTGTAATATGGCAAGAGAGTTTATGTTTTTTTTTTTTTTTTTACATATGATAAAAAATGTATTAAACTTACAAGTATTTAACTTAACGCAAGTATTTAACATAATCCGTTTTACTTTGAATCAAATTCACCAAGTATTTAACTTAACCCACAAAAATGTATTTAACATTTTGTTATAAAAAATTCAAAACAAAATTTGTACAATTTAAATGTAGTATATTTGTTGTGTGATTATAAAAAGAAAGAGACTGTTTTTTGCATATATATTTTTTTAAATATCTAGAGTTCCTAATTAAAAGAAAAATTTGAAAGACTTGGCATTTTAATATTTATGTGTAATATGGCAAGAGAGTTTATGGTTTTTTTTTTTTTGGCACCGTTTTAAGGGAGTATAGTATTCTATGTTGTATTTCAAAAAAATTTGGTCAATGTATATATGTGTGTATTACTTTAGTTGTGTTCATGTCAAAAAAAATGTATTAAACTTACAAGTATTTAACTTAACACAAGTATTTAACATTTTGTTATAAAAAAAAAAATTGTACCATTCAAATGTAAAAAAAAAATAAAATTGTACCATTCTAAAAAGAAAGGGACTATTTTTTTTCATTTAATTTTTTTTTGAAAGACTTGGCATTTTAACATTTATGTGTAATATCGCAAGAGAGTTTATGTTCCTTTTTTTTCCCCCACCTTTTTAATGGAGTATAATTTAATATGTTGCATTTCAAAAATTCTGGTCAATGCATATGTGTGTATTACTTTATTGCTCATAAAATGGCTTTCTTATGTGGTGATTTTTTTTTTTTGGCATAAATTTATGTTTGGAGTTTCCAAGTCATAAATGGTGAACTTCAAAATATTTATGATTATAATGGGTTTTAATTTTGGTTTTAATTTCATCTCTATAAAATTGAAGTCAGTTAAGAAAGAGAAAAGTTCAAATTCGGACAATTATTGTGCTCGAATTTTAATTTATCATTTTAATGTGATTGTTAAAAAAGATCTATTCTAAATGCTAGGTTGACTCAGAAAATGTGAGTTTGATTATGGGTTTCGCAAAGAATGTAAAGAGAGAGAGGGGGAGGGGAAAGGGACTATTTGTTTGGAGATATTTAAAAAGAAAGTAAGGGTAATTTATTTAGTTGATCTTCCTGCAACAAAAAAATTAAACTGACACTCAGAAAATTTTATTTAACATTTTATTTGCTGTGTAATATATTTATTTAGTTGTACCATTCAAATGTAATATTTATTTGCTGTGTGATTCTAATGTATAGATGATAAATATTTTTCATTTAATTTTTTTGTGAATATCTAGAGTTCCTAATTAAAAGAAAAATTTGAAAGACTTGGCATTTTAACATTTATGTGTAATATGGCAAGAGAGTTTATGATTTTTTTTATTTTTTTATTTTTTGGCACCGTTTTAAGGGAGTATAGTATTCTATGTTGTATTTCAAAAAAATC